CGGCACCCAAAATCCCGCATTTTGAAGCATTTTAGTACTTAAAATTCACTTAAACAAGTTACCCCATTTCTCTTACATCAATGATTATCAAATACATGTGAGAAATATCAAATCTGATTCCCCTAGTTAATGGATAATTTTCAAGAGTGCATTCTTTGGAATTCATAATTTTCACTATTGGATGTCAAAACTTATGCTTTTATAACTTATGCAGATTTTGGTGTTCCATGCCATAGATAAGCGTTTATGTAATCGCACGGTTTGTTTACCTTCGGCGAATGAGTTTGATTTTACAATAAATATATGTCTGATTTATTTTTAGCAATGTTTTAATAATGAATCTATTCAATTTCATAATAGTGTGAACTGTTTAGTCACAGTTGAATCATACACATTTCAAAAACACATATGCAGTACTGAGTGTAAGTTATAAAAGCATTACTTTATAAAAGATAAATAATTTTAAAAAATGTGTTTCTCCGGAAGAAAACCAGAGGTTTTCAGGATTTTTTAGAAATATCCGGATTTCCGGAAGACTTTCATTATTAATAATAACCCCTGGTTTTTATCAACCTAGCTACTTTTCTATCCTATGAACCAACCTATCTCCCATACCTACAGATATAATTTTTTAGATAAGCCTTTTATGTGAAACCTTGTCAAATGCTTTCTGAAAATCCAGATACACCAAATCCACATCTGTACTCTCATTTGCATAAGCTATAATTTCTTTAAGGAATGTCAAAAAATTAGAAAGGCAAGATTTCCCCCCTAGTGAAATGATGCTGACTGTCCAAAAGAAATTTAAACTTTGTTAAACGACTTTCGAAAATTTGTTCCACTACTGATGTAAAACTAATAATTATTGGGACAATTTATCCACTTCCCTTGATAAAGAGGAGTAACATTATCCAACTTCCAATATTCACAAACTGACACCACATATCTAATCCTTAACCTCCTTCAAAACCTTTGGCCCGAGAATCCTAGCAACTAAAGGCTGCTCACCTTGGAGACCCTGCCGCACGTGGTTACTGTCCAGTCCGGCACAAAAATCACACTCTTTCTCTTGTCACTTGGCCACCACAAGCCAGTTATTATGTCAAAGATTCTAAAACCAACTGATTTTGATCTGGTATCCTGCATGCTAGCATTAATTAATTAGTCACAAGTAAATTTTTTTTTTATAAAGAACATAACAGGTTTAGGAGAAATTATCGGCATTAAACAAAATTTATTGTTTTACTCTTATTTTTTTCATTGTAACTGCTGTGACGGTGAAATAAGAATGCTAACAAACAGTAGGAATTTATCTTTGGCTAACTTGGGGTAAGTTCTGCTGTTTAAATGAGACTTGATAATTTATGAACATACAAAAGTGCTAACTGAAAATAAATAACGAGAAAAAGCTAATAAGATAAATTAGTAGCAAGCAGTTTATGGTAGGGAAGAATCTGAAATTGGATTCTTTGTGAGTGTAATTAATGTTGAAATATAAATAAATAAAATAGTAAATCCTTCTGTTTTGTGTGTGATTTTTATCATGTACGTTACATTAACAAAGTTGAGCTGATTTTAAAACATTGTTATTACTTAACGGTTGTTAAGTAGCACAAATAACAAAAAATGTAGCTACATTGTGATAAAATACAATAAAGTGATCAAAATCATTGTCAAGGACATTTTAGCCAAACAAAATCTTTGTGTAGATATTTTTTTTTTCATTCCAATTTATGCAAGTACAGACATTAAGTAAACAGATACAAAACAATATGTTGTATGATGAATTCTACTCTTGCAATAAAATGACTACAAATCAGTTTGCTACCGATTCATTTTGTTGGAGTTTTATCTTCACTTTCTTTGCCTGCGATTTTTCGTAATTTTCTCGTCTTCGATTTTCTCTCTGAATGGAAGAATGAAAGATAATTATGTAAAATTATTCTAAAAATATCCTGATAAATATGCTGCTCTTTAGCTTTGTGAACATAACCATTTAACAAACTCATTTCAAACCTACTGTATTTAACTTCATAGCAGAAAAGGGTAACAGTAAGTTTTCATTTATTGAAAAAAAAATTTTTCAGTGTACCAAATCACCGATTTATTAAAATAATTAATTAGATTTTTGCCTTAACTTTTAGGAAAACTGCTATAGGTAAAACTAGATGGTTATAACTAATGGTGGAGAGAGAGAGAGCAATAACACAGTTGATAGTCTAGACTATTAAAAAACTTTTAAAATTTAACGTTAATTTTTTTAAAATCAGTATGTTCATCAGATAAGTTTGTTTATTTCAATCACCTAAAGAGGAACCCTTAAGAGACAAAGAAACAGCAGACTTGTTTTGTTTATTGACACTGGAAAAATTACGATTTCATTAATATCACAGACAAATAATTTGACGATTATTTTAATTTTGAGAAAAAGAGTGTTTGTTATTTCTCATTACTATCGTAACTTGCCGAGTGCACACGTAACTTTTTTGTTTTGGATTTGGAAATATTTTACCAATTAAGAAAAAAAAAAAAAGAATTTGTAATCTTTAAATTTCTACTTACTGTTATATCACATTTTTCTGACAATTTATTTTATGTTGTCTTTAAAATGACTTATCATATTTTCTCACCATCTTATTAATTTTTTTGTTAAAACAATACAGATATGTATATACCTCTTTCCTCAGACACCGTAACACATCACTGTCTAATTCATTACAAAATCCAACAAACTTTTTCCATTTGTTCTAAAAATAGAAAAGATATTCATTAGTGAGATTTTTTTTTTGTCTGTAATCATGAACTCTAAAAACAAAAATTAAAAAAATATTAATTTATTTTGCATTATTAATAAACAAATGAAATTTTTTATCTTCAATATATGGTATTTATTAATAACTACTTAATCCCATAACTGATACTAAATAACTAAAAAAAAACAGTTATCTCAAGTCCACTAATCAGAAAGAATCACCACTGGCAATTAAATAGGATATTACATGATGGGCTGACTATGCCGTGCCCACCACAAGTATCGAAACCCACATTTTAGCATCATAACCTATGGACTTATCACCGAGACACTGGGAGGACTACATGTATGAACTCTTAATACCTTTAAATGCCAAGAAACCATTTTTTTTTGGTTACTGACATATCGGTTTAGTTTTAAAAATGTAAAATAAAAAAATCCCCTTGTGTATTTTTCTAATAATTTAATATTCACTCACACAAAAAAGAAAAACTGTGTAATTACTCTGAGGTGTAAGTTATAAAAATATAAATTACTGCTCGATATATTTCTAAGTAAGCCTAACAATAATTAAAATCTGAAATTTATCATGTAGATAAATAATATCCTAGTCAATCTGAACAGAAATGAACTATAAGACATGGTGATTTACTATAATGTACTTTAATGGTTGGAGATGGCTTGAATGAGTAATGAAGAAAAACTTTAATATAAGTTTAAATGACAAAACGTTGTACATTTGCTGTTATGTTAAACTTACATTAAAGTTTTTCTTCATTACCCATTCAAGCCGTCTCCAGCCATTATTAGTCTCAAATTGGCTTCCTCATCATCGAACTTATAATGTACTTTACCTCACATTGTCAGACTAATGAAACTTTTCAACTGAAATTCACTGTATTTTTATGATAATATCTGGAAGAAATAGCACATTAGCAATGGCAGTACTAACACTACTACTAGTAGTAAGTACTACTTCTAATAATAATAATAATAGTAACCATAGTAACAATAGTAAAATTAAACACCCTCTATTTAAATTTACTATCGTGATCAGATTTAGTGGAATTTTTGTCTAATTAAAACTGAAATGTTTCAGCTCATAGGAGCAGACTATCTACAGGGAATGCAAGATGTTATTGTAAATTCAATAATTGTACAATGGCTGGAGATGGCCCGCTAAACTCACAGTTTTAATTACTTAAAAAGGTATATTCACTGTAAAGTTATCAACATTATATTATTAATAAGTTTAATTAGCCTGTGGGATCCCTCATTTAATACGTACAGGCATAGGTCTACGTCTAGTCTAAAGTTATTGTTATTAATATAATGTTAAGACTAATTGGCAGACGAATGTAACCTACCTCTTTTAAAAATATATATAACATATTTGTTAAGTTAGGTTGAGGGTACTGAATATTCAAGTACAATATAATACATACCTCTTCATGACATTTTTTTAACTTTCGAATTAAGTTATTACATTCTTCAGTATGAAGATGAGGAGACAAATCAGGGTGCATTTTAAACTTGGTGGCGCTACGTGTCTACTCTGGGTCCCATCTTATGAAAAAAAAATATTTTTCTTAATGCTTAATTTCGATCAAGTATAACACGCTATATAAAACATTAATTTTCTTGTGTTCTATACATTGTTCGTGCTTTTATGCTAACATTTGTTTATGATATTTTATTAAACTTTCGACCTGAATATACTTAATTACTGAGTACACTTCTGGAAATTATATACTAACATTTGTTTATGATATGTTATTAAACTTTCGACCTGAATATACGTAGTTACTGAGTACGCTTCTGGAAATTAATGTTTTATATCTTCGTTGTATTTTCTTAGTTATACTTCTGAAGCCAATTCTTAGAAGTTATATGATTTCGAAAGAAATTAATATGTGATAATATATTAACCACAATACATCCGCCATATCCATTGCCGACGAGGCCTTTCCGCCTATACCGGGTCTCATCAGGCCGGTTGGAATGGATGTTATAATTATCACCAGTTCATGGACAACAAATGTTATGGTGTGAACTACTCAGAACTAGATTAAGTAAGTGAATTCCAATGATATAACTTCTCATAGAAGGGGCAACCTAAGCTGCCACCATCTGGCCTGAAGCATCAAACCCACTTTTTTATTTACCACTACACCACTGGGGAATTGTAATTATTATCAATGTTATTAAATTAGAATTTATATATATGTTCATTTTTAACACCGGTTATATATTATTATTATTTTATTTGAATTAACTTTACAGTCATTCAGAAGAGCTGGCGAACCCTCTTGTTCAAAACAACGCCCCAAAGCCTCACATTGCATCTGTTTGCCTTTGGGGAAGATTGATAACCGCCATTAGCGATGGTATCGGCGTGATTTTCATATATGTGCACAACCCAAAATGTTTAAACCACTCGCAGTAGTGTGTTTTCTGTCAAAATTAAGCACAAAGCTACACAATGGGCTATCTGTGCTCTGCCCACCACGGGTATCGAACCCCGGATTCTAGTGTTGTAAGTCCGCAGACATACCGCTCTCCTCATTCATGCCATGCACACGTTTTACTGACGTCACGTCAGTACAAATTGCAACGTTAAGCGTCCCTTATGTGACGAAATTTTAGTATCTACTGGCTGAACAAACAACACAGCATGACATTTGAACTTCAAAAGCAAGAAATAAAAATATTTGTTACTCTCAATTTTGGTTTTATATACTCTTGAAACAGGACACTTTCGGGGACCCTACAGAAGTGCATCTAGTATATAATTATAATTCTTTATTAGCTAGGTTGCTTTGTTAGTAAAGAAAGTTTCAGTTATTTTTTGTTTTTTAAGGTAATATATTTGATAAATATATCTTAGTAATTTCCGAAATTGGGATCCCAATTCACTTACATTATCTGAACAGAATTCAATTTTACTGGGATTGAGATGGATTGCTAGTGAGCTAGTGTTGACATAATTTGTCCGTTCGTTGAGAAAAATAAGTGATTAACTGAAGTTTATGTACTTTTAGTATCTCACTAACCTGTTTTAACAGACTTTTAACTGTTGATTCTTTTTATGGAAACGATCACACTTTTGGCCCAGTGAATAATAATGACTCGTGTTCTCTTATAGTAGTATTACTGAACACTAAATGGCGCCACCGTATCTATATGCCCACTAACTCGTTCAGTTTTAAATATCTCGCTAAATGGTTTGTCAAAAATTTGTACACACAAATTTCTAAGTCTGTTTATAAAATACTCTAATATTCCATATGGCTGGTTGTCTCAAGTGCCACCTTTCTTGAACTCATTCTTAAAACGAGGATGTTAAACACACACAATTACTTTATATTTCCTGATATTGACCACAATATTTCATTTTCCCAATGAATGTAGGTCACTGCCTCTTCTACTTTTTATGTAACTCTTCTTTGTTAACATTGTAACGTAATTGTCTTATGAACCCATGAAAATTGGATACTTAAAAAAAAGAGAAACCTAAAATTACTATTTTTGTTCTGAGCTATCCTTATTTTAACGTATTCTCCGTTGTTATTTTTGTTCAGAGCTATTCTTGTTTTAACGTATTCTCCGTTGTTATTTTTGTTCTGAGCTATCCTTGTTTTAACGTGTTCTCCGTTGTTATTTTTGTTCAGAGCTATCCTTGTTTTAACGTATTCTCCGTTGTTATTTTTGTTCAGAGCTATCCTTGTTTTAACGTGTTCTCCGTTGTTATTTTTGTTCAGAGCTATCCTTGTTTTAACGTATTCTCCGTTGTTATTTTTGTTCAGAGCTATCCTTCTTATAACGTATTCTCCGTTGTTATTTTTGTTCTGAGCTATCCTTGTTTTACGTATTCTCCGTTGTTATTTTTGTTCAAAGCTATCTTTGTTTCAACGTATTCTCCGTTGTTATTTTTGTTCAAAGCTATCTTTGTTTAACGTGTTCTCCGTTGTTATTTTTGTTCTGAGCTATCTTTGTTTAACGTGTTCTCCGTTGTTATTTTTGTTCTGAGCTATCCTTGTTTTAACGTATTCTCCGCGCTTGTTGCAATATTTTGTCTTTTTTAATATTGAAAATTTCAAATTATATTCATCATACAGTGTAATACGTGGTCGTTTAACAACTTATTTCCACGATCTCTCTATTGTTATAAGTGACTAAATCTTTATTATAAAAATTCATTTCTGCACAAATGGGCAGATGCTTTTTTAACACACTTCTCTCCGTATTTTTGTTTTAATATCACAAATTCACCACCCAACATGGGTCAATCAGTAAATGTTCACTATAAACTAATATTTTAATGTAGGCTTCTGTATTTAAAAATTTGGTTTGTTTTTATTACATAACCTGTGATGTCGGTTAATGAATGTCTAAGCCTTGTATTTCCTTTATGTGTACGACTCACTGCAGCATTACTAAAACTCAGTTAGTATTATTTCGAAATGTTTAATATTTAAGAAAATTTATACCAACTTAAATTTGAACAGTTTAATTATCCATATGAATTACAGAACAAAATATATTTGATAAAGATTTCCATACTGGGCCAGGTGAGTATGTAAGACTAAGTTTATATTTTGTTGAATATAATTATATGATGTATTTATATATATCATGAGTTCGAAAGGCTTAACAAAACATACAAATCTTCGGACTTTTGAACGGTGGTTACAATTAGATTTCCATTCGCCCAGTGCGTAAAACAATGCTAGCTGAAATATGTTTTTAAACGTTATATATTTGTGTATGTGTGTGTGAGTTTTATTTATTTATTTATTTTTAGAAATAAAAGTGCCTTAACAGCGTGAAATGGAACCCGATTTAACTGATACCGAGACGTAATTGAAAAGAAATTTTTACCAGAAATGTAAGTAAAAAACATAAAATACGTTTATTATTTACTGAAACTAATAATTCAACCATATTTACGTATATTTTTGCAAAAAATCTTTTCACGAAACGTAAACAGTTTCCATTATGCCTTAAGCCTAAAAGAAACTGTTGCATCATAGATACAGCGCCATCTATCACAGCTACCGACTGTAGGTATAAATTTAAAAAGTTTTTATGACAACGTAAATCACTAGTTGATAACACCAGCTATCATAAGTACACAAGAGCGTGTTGCCCACAGATTATCAGCGAGTTTTTTTCTAAATTTATCCAAGTCGTAGTTGATGTGGTGCTTGTGATGCCAACAAGGTTTCCCGCGAGATTTTTGGATGCAGGTGAAAAATGCCTGAAAAACAAAATGCATCAAGATCAGAGCTTTGTACGTAAATGAATGATATATATATATATATATAAATAAGGGTTATAGCAATAATAAATGTTTTATAGAAACTTAGGAATCTTCAGTAGACTGTATATATAGAGAGTTCTGAACCTTAAATTAACAAGACAAAATATGCTACTTGGTTAGGACGAATACAGTTCTTGTAGTGGTAAGGCCTAATCAACGTAACCTGTAATAGAAATACGAATACAGTTCTTGTAGTAGTAAGGCCTAATCAACGTAACCTGTAATAGAAATACGAATACAGTTCTTGTAGTAGTAAGGCCTAATGAACGTAACCTGTAATAGAAATACGAATACAGTTTTTGTAGTAGTAAGGCCTAATGAACGTAACCTGTAATAGAAGTACGAATACAGTTTTTGTAGTAGTAAGGCCTAATGAACGTAACCTGTAATAGAAATACTTTACTGATTCAATAGTAAGTATGAAATCTTGCACAAAACAACTCTGACAGCAATGTTCGTTTGTTCGTCGTTAGTTTCTCAAAATTTCCAGTATGGCATGATTTGTTTGTTGCATTTATTGAAAGTAGATTTATAAAACAGTATAATTTATATCACATTTTAAAATACCCCATTCACTAGATAAGAATTGTGTAAGTAAGTACTTAACTAAGACACTGACTCTTTAATACCCCCCCCCCTCCTCAGTGGCACAGCGGTATGTCTGCGCAGTAACAACACTAGAAATCGGGGTTCGATAACCCCTGGTAGGCAGAACACAGATAGTCCAGTGTTTACCTTTGTGCTTAATTACAAATATAAGGCTTTAATTTTACGAATTAATTAAACAGTTGTTTATTCACTAACGTACAAAAATTATGTAATCGAAATAAACAACGAAATGTTTATAAAAAAAACTTTAATTGAAACACATTTCAGTAATTTATAATTATTCAAAATACAGAGAGAGAGAGATAATATACTCTGACATAAAAGTTCTTTCTCCTCTCAATTTATATATACAAGATTTACACTAGATGGCACTACGTGCCAGTTAACTTACCTGCCGTAAAGAACATTTAACTTGGTATGAGTGATGACTCTTCAGGAAATTAAGGAGTTTTAATACCCTCAAGAAAATGTTGCCACATTTATGAAGAGCGTATTTATGGCACTCTGAAAAAAAAAGTATTTACTCAGAATTATGAATGCCGTTACTTATAAGCATATGTATGAATAGATTACAAAAAAATGTTTAATGTTAAGAAACTGAGGAGCAATGACGTAACTAGGCCTATGATGGTTCTGGGGCTTTTGTCTCTTCCCCATAACCCAATCCTAATAGTATTATGTAAAGAAAAAGAGTACACTGAATTATAAAATAAAATAAAATCTTCGATTGTCTCATGTAATATTACGGCGAGGATGTGTGTGGTTTAAAGAGTGCCTTGCAAATGTGTGTCAGGAGATTCTCTGGGTCTCAAAAGTGTTATTTATGTATTTTACAAGAGGCTTAATACGAAGTGAGTTTCATACTGGCTCTTTAATACATAACATAGTAATTTTACATATCTCACATATCTAACCTTCATGAGTTTGGTCAGCTTCCCTGGCTGCCAACCTTATGTGCCCCAGGAAATAGTCAGACTGTCTAAATTTCTAACTAGTTGGATTTAAACTCATGGTTTGTGTTGATGTTTGAGTCTATAACTATTAGCTCACGTTAGCTAGGTTTGACATTCGTATTAGTTCACATAAGCTGGGCTTAACAATCGCCCATCAGCTCACGTAAGCTAGGCTTAACAATCACGTATTAGCTGGGCTTAACGTTCGTATATTAACCCACATAAGTCTACAAAAGTTTTCAAAACTTACACGAATAGTTGCGAACTGCAGTTTTGTGATACTTTTAAGTAATGTTGATTCCGTTCAGAGGTCTACTAATAATGACAGATTCGACGAGGTATTTAACGCAGAATAATTATCATAAGTTATCATAAAGGACAGTCTGTGTCCTCTACAGAAGATATAGTAACTCAGTGATCTTAAGTTTCAAACTGAATAACTTACATCAGCTATTTAAATTGTTAACATTAGAATTAACCAGAGCAACTAACACTTATATATGTGACCTGCTATTCACCAATGAAATGCAAGGGAGGTCACCTGACCGCCAGTGGACAAGATATCTAATTTCACATACCATAGGTGTCCTTACAACTATCTTTCCCACGAGATAACAAAAGTTAATATTCTACTGGGTAAATGACACCATACAATGGGTACCTAAAGTGAAAGGAATTTAACGACATTCTTGACTAACACGGTGTGAAATAAACACAAAATATTTTTTTAAAGTTTCTATGTTCATTCTACATCAGAAATAATTTTTTAAAGTTTCTATGTTCATGCTACATCAGTTCATATTTTCCTGGTCATGTCGATAGTATAAGAATTGTCATCCAAAGTTTCTTGTGTGACTACATTCCAAGCTAGTCTTGGTGTTTTTATGCATAAAGAACTACGTCAGCAACATTGAAAAAGTGAAGACACCATGATCACTAATTCTCAAAAATCTCTTCCCAGAAAGCCACGTGCTGCACGTTCGAGTTGTTGAAATGAAGAGTAGAAAACGGCATTATTCGTGTTCGCTTTAAAATTTTGAACCCTCTTAAGGATTGTTTGTTTCGATTACATTCCAGATGCTACACGGGTTTGTGTAAGATTATAAAACTAATTAACCATCTTACGGTATTATTGACCAATGGACCTATCTTCAAAATCTGTAAAACTTGTGTGTTTGTAATTGCTGAAATTCTTAACCAATGTATATCTTAATGTCATACTAAATGCAAAATATTATGTTTTGTTATTTGATCGATGTGTTGTTGTTTCATTGGTTTGTGTTGAAAAGGAATAACTTATAACTATGGTTACAACGTCAATATCGTTGAGTGGATTCCTCTTCATCCTTGTCTTTATTCTCGTTGATTTTATTTTATTTTTGTCAAATCTATCGATAGTTAAAGCAACATTACTAATTAACACGTTTTCACTATATCGAACGTGAGTCATAAGGTTAGAAATGTACACCAGGGGCTGAAGAAAATAAACCAAATGGCCTTATTCTGACCTCGAATCGTGAAGAAATTCTTTATATTCAATACGTGAAAGGGAAACTGAAACCTCCTGTCAGTGAATGACTTTGACCACACGGGGTCTTGTCATGTGTGACAATGACTTGAAAACCATGACATGGAAAATAAAAAAGGTATAAAATGGGAAAATCGAAAGAGAATAAGTCAATTCATGGACTTAACGATATCGTCAAGACCATATTGCATTCTGATATATGTTTTTGTTGACTTGAATTTATCTCACTTAAACAAGCCCGACACAAAGTTTTGGTAAACTAATAAATAGTTTTAGAGTGTAATAAAATAAAACTTATCATCAACCAAACCCTCTTGGACATCAACTGGAAATTTTCAATCAACATGATAAAAGAGCTATCTTGTCCTTCGGCTTACAGAAAACAGTTAAAACCTATCAGCAACCAAACCCTCTAGGACATCAACTGGAAATTTCAATTAACATGATAAAAAAGCTATCTTGTCCTTCGGCTTACAGAAAACAGTTTAAACCTATCAGCAACCAAACCCTGTAGGACATCAACTGGAAATTTTCAATCAACATGATAAAAGAGCTATCTTGTCCTTCTGCTTACAGAAAACTGTTAAAACCTATCAGCAACCAAACCCTCTAGGACATCAACTGGAAATTTTCAATCAACATGATAAAAGAGCTATCTTGTTCTTCGGCTTACAGAAAACTGTTATAACCTATCAGCAACCGAACCCTCTAGGACATCAACTGAAAATTTTCAATCAACATGATAAAAGAGCTATCTTGTCCTTCAGCTTACAGAAAACTGTTAAAACCTATCAGCAACTGAACCCTCTAGAACATCAACTGGAAATTTTCAATGAACATGATAAAAGAGCTATCTTGTCCTTCGGCTTACAGAAAACTGTTATAACCTGCGATATGCAAGACTGATCGATAAGCTGGTAAATGATATATCCTTACCTTTCGTTTCGTCTCTCGTCTTTGACACGTTCATTATTTTATGATCACTTCCTCTCTTCATGGGTAAAGGTCTTCTACAAAATAGAAAGAGTATATTCAATAATAGGAGAGATATTGTTATTTTCACAAACATATCAATATATATGTTTATATATTTGTAGTTTTCCATATATTTTGAAAAGAATAGTTAAGCAGTTAACATCCCACACTGTGGAACGAAAGATTCAAAGTTCGAGCCACGCTTTCAGCTGTGACGGTTAATTACAGTTCTTTGGATCTTATATGAACTCCAGCTGTTTCATTTCTCTCATATATTGGGGGCGGCTAGGGCTCGACCTTGGGGCCCCTGATCTGGCCGCTCAAATGTCACATGTTGGAAATTCTAAAACCAAAAAAATAAAAAAAAAACTTTCGCGAAGGTTCTGTCGGTAGAGTATTCAAATTTACACAAATGATAATGCTAGAAAACAGCCATTTCCTGAAGCTTTTGCTGTTTGTTTGTTTCCTTTTTGAATTTCGCGCAAACAGCGGTATGTCTGCGGACTTACAACGTTAGAAACAGTGTTTCGATACCCGTGGTGAACAGAGCACAGATAGCCCGTTGTGTATCTTTGTGCTTAACTTCAAACAAACATAGAATGAAACGTGTCCCGTCACTTCTATTTTAACTTTAATTACAGCCAGTAATGTTGCACTGATTTCAAAATTTGTGTGTGTGGTGGGGGGGGGGGGTGAAGAGAGGTTCTGTAGCTGACTGAGGAAGGTTATTTTATCTAATATACAAAACGTAACGACTGCTTTTGTGACTAATGATCATACGAGTAAATTATTGAGAAATAAAGTTTTAGCACTGCTGCAATGTGAGGGGGACTTTTCCCCATCTTTGAAAGCGTAAATTACGCCTATTATTACAGCTCACGTTTCTATGCAATCTTCAAAAATCTCTTTCTTTCTTTTTTTTTGTCTAATCTGACATATTTTTAATCACTTCGATATAAAATGCCTTGATAACGCCATAAAACTTTGATTACAACTGAAACCTATGCGCATGGCATTAAACGAGGTTAATAGGCCTTCCGAAACGGGGCTTATTACACAGAGGTGCTAGTTTTTCGTCTGGCGCATTGCCAAAACTGGTTATTTCAGACATCCTTCTGGCAAGGCTGTGAATCTTAATTTTTAGATATTATCTCCAGGTGTTCATTCCGCACACTAAAACAATCAGTCATCCGCTTCATTTCAGTGACAAGAATATGATTAACGTTCTACTGCCATCTGGTGGTCCGGGAAATGTTGAAGTTTTGAAGGATAAAGAAAAAAAAAGCAACAAAATTATTTTACGTTTGTTTTTTCTTGAATGCTATAAACTTTATATGTTAAGATAACAGATTAATAATTATTTAACAAGAAGGAAGATGGATGGAAGGTCTTAATCGCGTGGATGTTAATAAAAACCAATTTAATACAGACTTCACTTATAAACTCATTTATATTTATATTCGCCAAGTTTGTTTTTAATAAGCAAGTCCCAACCCCGCCCCCTAGAGGCTCAACGGCAAGTCTGAAGTCTTATAATGTTAAAAATCGGGTTTCGATAGCCTTGGTGTAGTATCTTTGTGCTTAACAACAAACAATTCACAAGCAAGTTCGTTTATTCTCGTTTTGTTTCGTCATATAAGTTGACATCCTTTCAGTTTTAGGATTTCGTCCAAACATCACTGTGCTGGGTCAAAAGTTGTTTTTTTAATCCCGTTTCGAGTTTTTTTTTATTGTCTTTTATAAGGGAAAAAATGACTTAGTTGTTGAATGTGTAAAATGGGAAAATTCTATAATATTCTATATACATACACCGGTATTTTACTGGTACAATCGACTGTCTACCGCAGGGATTGAATCCCAAATATTAGCGTTATAAAACCTAAAGCTTAACGATAAGCCACCGGAGGTAGGGATTTAGTTCTTTTAAGTTGCTTAAGAGCTTATGAGTAAACCGTTTCGCTTACCATCGGTCCCTGAAATGAAATTCAAAGTGCACATCAGTCACCACAGCCCCCCCCCATGGCACAGCGGTATGTCTGCGGGCTTACAACGCTAGAAACCGGGTTTCGATACCCGTGGTGGGCAGAGCACAGATAGCCCATTGTGTAGCTTTTTGCTTAATTCCAAACAAACAAACAAACAGTCACCACAGTATCACTTTCATACGAACTCGTGTACAGTTCACGAGCACCTGAAGGATCGCAAAAAAAGAGGGGGGGGGGCAAGCATGCGGAGGCTCTGGTTTATTAGATATTGATCTACGTTGTCTGTTTGTGAACTCCTCCCACAGTTTTGAAGCTAGCAGGACCACACCTGCTAGGCGGAGTCGGGGTGGTCCGGGGAGTTTCCTTGACTATATGGCGTATCACCCTAGCAGCGGGCGCCAAGGAGGGCTTAAAGTGCCCATGGAAGGTCATTCAGGAATGGTGGGGGGGGGGGTCTAGGAATAAGTTTGAGTTTGTAGGGTCACAGTACTCGCAGCTGGCATTGGATTTTGTGTTCATGCTCACCCACCCGCCATCGTGGTACTTGGGGCACCATTTTTGAAACTTACCCCACAAACAAGCTAGAGAGAACAAATTAGGCACGCATACTCAGTACTGCCTCCCCTTTCGGTAACTATAGAAATAACTGGGGATAATGGTAGATATTGGTCGTTGGGTTGGGGGCATTCTAAGGATCATGGGTATTTGATATTGGTTTTAATTCAATAGTGCCATATTTATATATCGTAAACTGCTCTGAAATGCTATCAGCTGAACAAAATAGACAATACCTTATATTATATACACTACATAGAAATCATGTATTCTGGTCTGCAAATACACACACACACACACACTTTTATTAATGTGATAACTCCCTTACCTTGACACGTAACCGGTACTTTGGTGTAGGTTTCATATAATTCGTTTATTTGTTTGTTTGGAATTAAGCACAAAGCTACACAATGGGCTATCTGTGCTCTGCCCACCGCGGGTATCGAAACCCGGTTTCTAGCATTGTAAGTCTGCAGACGTACCGCTGTGCCACTGGGGGGGCTTGATTTGATAGACTGAAGGAAATGCAGCTAGTCAAAAGCTTACACCGCCAAAGTCTTGGACTCCTCTTGTATAACCTAATAGTGAGATTTGACTGTCACCCTTATTATGAACCGATGAGCCCGAAGTGCGGCGAACGATTATTATAATTGTTTGTCGGTAATGGAAAGAAATTGACGGACCTGCAGATCCACGGTTCGGCATGTTAGCCACTAGGCCACGTAGTCATCTCGAACTACTTAAATTGAGGATGGCCTCCAATGTTTAACAAGTGGATAAGTAATGTCCCTTTGATAGTTTTGTAGTTAAACCTAGCACACGCCATTAGAAGCGATTGTTAAATAGAACATTTTAATTCAAAGGCTAATAATCTAAACAAGGAAGCTCTGTAGTAAAATATACAGTGATTTTGTCTGTTTGAAAGATATCGTTTTTGGTTTCACCCGATATTTTGTTGGGAACTCTGGACTTCTGATTTTAACTTCAATCCTAAAATCTATACTGTTCAATAGAAACTCTGTAAGATAATTGTTTTCCACAAAGTGATGAGGTTTTGATTCAGACTACTCTATATTTGACTGGACCGGGCGTGGCCCGATGATTAGCTTGACAGCCTGCAAACCACACATACATACATACAGTTTAAGGACAACAGGAACCTGTTTGTCTATCTAGGCCTTTTCATCCACTATACTCAACTCTAAAATGAAGATAAAACACCCAAAACCAGCCCTTATCATTCAGATATTTACCAAACCTTCTTTTGAACTCCCTTAAATTAGCTGCATCCACCACATCTGAAGGTCAACCACCCCGTTAGAAATGTTGAGATGTTTTAGATGGAGATGACCCCTACCCTGCTCGTGCCGCTTCGCGTTTTCAGCTATGGGTGCGTTATAGGAATGTCAGTCAATCCCGCTATCCACTTCAAAGCCCTCGTGGCGAATGGTGCTGCTGACAAGCTCTCTTCTTGTAAAAACATGAAAACCAGAAATGGCTAAACAAGAACATTGAAGTTTTCTGTCTGTCTGGCCCACTTGTCGCGTTAGTTGGTATTCTAACTGAACATATAAAATTAAGATAAAACGTGGTGAAGAAATACTAAAGTGGGTGGGTGGCGTTTATCTCTTGAAAATACCACATTCCAAGCTGGGGCTTAACTTCGTCACATGCTATGAAACTCACCTTTGCGTGAAGTGAACGATGGAGTCGCTGGGTTCTGGTCTATCTTTAGATGGGATCGCTTGTAACGAGGATACAGACGTTATAAAGACTCCTGCCAGGACTGTAGAGAGAAAAAGTTTGATCGACATACCGAGATGGCTGTACGAAAAAAGAAAAAGACAAAAATAAAATTAGTTTTGTACGTTTAATTGCACCATACAGTGCAATGTACGAATTGGACGTCGTTTCCTGCTAAGTTTTATATTTATAAAATTGTTTGAGACTTTTCAAAGTCAGTTATAAAATGAAGAGTAGAAGAGTGTTTGAAAATATATGAAGTTTTGAACTTCTAAACAAGAGTGATCTAATATTGATTATTGATCAGTAAATTGTCCATAAAAATCACGGACAAAAACTGTGAAATACCTAGGTTTTAAACCGTATATTCTTATGTTGCTAAGAGCCCCCCCTTACTGATCAGTAAGTTGTCCATAAAATTCACGGACAATAACTGTGAAACACCTAGGTTTTAAACCGTATATTCTTATGCTGCTAAGAAAGAGCCTCACCCCCACCCCCAAAATGGTGTTTACTTGATTTTTGATATTCTCTCATAATCTTTCACAAAACGGCTTGAAATTTTGAAAGTGGGCTCTCTGACACCCAAAGAGGGGCCATGAAAATGTGGGGATGGGAGTTGTTAGATTTAACTCCACCGGTAGACGTTTCTGAAATTCTGTTCTCAGCACCGAAACTTCGGATTTACACGATAATTGGTATGAACATGTACGGGATTTTTCAAAATATATATATATATGTACGTTTTATATCTGCAAACTTTTCGTTTGGGGGTGTTCTTTCTGATGAGGATCAAAGTCTTCGTTTGTCGTGGGCAGGAAAGGGAAGTTCTTGTAAGTTAAGTGTAGCATATTATTATTGAAAAAAATAACAACAATAAATAAATGAATCGTTTGATTTTAACGTTCGTGTTTTAATTAAATTTCATTTTAAAGATATTTACATTTGTTGCTGTATGTATTGTGATAACTTACATAACTAAAAAAGTGCATTACTGCCAGATGAAGGGGTTTACAAAGAAAACTTTATCACAAGTTAGTAACAAATGTTCTGTTATCATCACGATGACAAAGGTTTCTTCAGCACCCGTTCAAGCCCTCTTCAAGCTGTATTGTCTCAAAGTGAGTTCCAAGTCATCAAGTTTCATCGTTTTTGGCGGAGCACGTGCTTGAAGTTCCAGTGATCCAGCATTCAAATCCTCTTGCGGGAGACGAAATACGTGGGACACATACCAACAGCGTGTTCTTGTCTGACAGTTATCTTTCTTATAACTTTATCCACCACAAATGACGACTCTGTTGGTATGTGTCCCACGTATTCGTGTTCTTGTCTGACAGTTATCTTTCTTACAACTTTATACACCACAATTGACAACTCTGTTGGTATGTGTCCCACGTATTCGTGTTCTTGTCTGACAGTTATCTTTCTTACAACTTTATCCACCACAAACGACGACTCTATTGGTATGTGTCCCACGTATTCGTGTTCTTGTCTGACAATTATCTTTCTTATAACTTTATCCACCACAAATGACGACTCTGTTGGTATGTGTCCCACGTATTCGTGTTCTTATAACTATCCACGTACAACATATGAAACAGTTAAATCACGAGCATAATTCTCACCGAAAGACTGCGACAAATAGCAAGAATGAGACGAACTATCACATGTCTGATCCAAAAGCGTACAAACGTTGACTGGTTGTGACGTCACGTACGCTAGTGTCATCGGCGCCATCCAATATCTTGCGACAAGAACTCCCACCTTAAATGATGTTGTGTCGGAAGCTTTTCGGGTTGCAGCAACAATGTTAGTTCTCACAGGAAACAAAGCCCACATTATCCGCGCCAAACACAAGTCGTTCCAAGAACTTCCGAGTTGTAACTGACCACAACAGATCCAAACCATCTCGAAAATGAAACCAAATCCCGGGATGCTTTACGGTATGTAGGGGGTTTGGGAGTTGACAGTACAAGAAGAAGGACGTTGGTTATACTGTAGATGTGTTTTCCTGATTGTGACACTCCGACGAGTATAGGTTTACGACTTTTTTTCCGAGACCAAAGAGGAACTAGAATTGCAAGATTGTTATTTATTTTTGTCGACCTGGAAGAATGTAATGCACACAGAGAACCCCAGCTGTGATATTGCACAATAGAGCCAGAGCGCTGGTTTGCATATAAATGATGTAACACTCAAGATTACGTGGGATTAAAGAAGCACTCAGCTTGTACTTAATTTGCCTATTTCAAACAAGCAGGCCCGGCATGGCTAAGTGGTTAGGGCGCACGACTCGCACTCTGAGTGTTGCAGGTTCGAATCCCCATCCCACCAAAACACGCTCGCCATTTCAGTCGTGGAGGCGTTATAACGTTCGGTCAATTCAACTTTTCGTTGGTAAAAGATTACCCCAAGAATAAGCTCCTTCCCTCTAGTCTTTCACTGCTAAATTAGGGAAGGCTAACGCAGATAATCTTCATGTAGCTTTGTGCGAAATTCAAAACAAACAAGAAAAAAAAATATATATATAAACGGTTAAATAAATTTCCTAGTCTAATCCTCTTGAGATTCAATAAAATCCTGGAAAACTTGGGAATTGTTCAAAACGTTGGCTCGGAGGGTCGAAGCTGGAATGTAACCACAGTTCTGTTATATACGCTCCCATTTACCCCCTCCCCACGTTCTTTCCTTCTGAGAGCTGCTTAATGGCCATCCAATTTAAAATGCACCACAGGGGGGCGTCCGCAATGCTAAATCTACACACACACACACACCTACTTTATGCTTTCTTGAATAGGCGAGAAACACTGATTTGTTGTCGTATCAATGGGGACTAGAAACTTGATTTACACCTGTTTCTTAACAAATAATGTTTACTCGTATCTACAATGACGCTTTATACTTTATTACTTATCATGTTTGTTTACTGTCATTTAGTTAATCGTGTACTTTTGTTCTTATCTCTGCTTATCGAAATCCAGTTTTTAGCGTTATAAACCCGTCTATAGAGACTACAAATATGCTTTAGGTTTGACTGAGAAGACTGTTTTGTTAAATTTTCGAGGAGTGCTACTATTTTTGAGGTGGTAGACTAGAAGGAAAGCTATCATTCAGCACCATCGACCGCCAACTTTTGAGCTACTTCTTGCCAACGAACAATGAGATTGACTATCACAATATAACGACCCTTGCCTGAAAGGGCGAGCATGTTGGACAACGGGTTTCGAGTCTAGAGCTTTAACCACCAGACCATGCGAGACCTAATTAAGAAGAGGGATGAATATTGCTTTCTTTAAAGCCGTTGGTGATGATTAAATACTATTATTTCATAAAAGTAACCCACGAGTTTGTGGTGGAAAGTGTTGACTAGTCTATAACTTCAAAGGTAGGGACAGCTAGCGCAGATAGTCCTCGAGTAGTTTGTTTTTAGTTTCTGTTGTTAGCGTTATATTTATTTCACTACAAGTAGTACAAGTTCCATATAATTACCGATAGGCCTAAATTCACAAATGAATAAGCAGTGGTACGTGTCGTATCTCTATTGCTTCATTGAAAGCTAATGCACTTAACTGATTCACTGACTAATCAGTCATCAGTATAAAGAACAACTGACTAATCAGTCATCAGTATAAAGAACATACTCTCTCGTAATTCAAACTTTGAGCGAAATAATAACACAAACGTCCATATTTTTTATACACCCTACGTCACTGTCCTCTCCTTAGGTTTTGAAGTCTATCAAAAATCTGATTACACAATTTTATAATTAACAATAAAGTAATTATTTACAATTATCAAAATTAATGGTCATAAATACAGATAGTACAATTATCAGTTGTGTGAAACAAAATGCAATCAAGATTTTGACTAAATTTGCTTTCTCTATTCGTTTACTTCCTTAAACTATTCAGTAGCCAGATCTTTTCCCTTTATCAACCTTACTGGGAGTGATGTTCTCAGTCGCCAGATCTCTTCCCTTTATCAACCTTACTGGGAGTGATGTTCTCAGTCGCCAGATCTTTTCCCTTTATGAACCTTACTGGGAGTGATGTTCTCAGTCGCCAGATCTTTTCCCTTTATGAACCTTACTGGAAGTGACGTTCTCAGTCGCCAGATCTTTTCCCTTTATGAACCTTACTGGGAGTGACGTTCTCAGTCGCCAGATCTTTTCCCTTTATGAACCTTACTGGAAGTGACGTTCTCAGTCGCCAGATCTTTTCCCTTTATGAACCTTACTGGGAGTGATGTTCTCAGTCGCCAGATCTTTTCCCTTTATCAACCTTCCTGAGAAAAAAATGTTCTCTTCATGTAGGTGGTCAAGGGAATACAATGGTAGTTCTCCATTCATCGTGATATTCTGGAAGTGGTTATGACAAGAACCTCAGGCTCTTCATTAGGTTGACTTACCATTGGTGAAATCTTCTCTGAAGCTAACAGATGCCTTAACTTATTATTGGTGTAGTCTTCTCTGAAGCTAACAGATGCCTTAACTTATTATTGATGTAGTATTCTCTGAAGATAACAGTTGTCATGAATTATAGATCTTCTGCATTTCATTGATGTGTTTTTTGAACATTTTCAATACTTAATATTAATACTTCTGTACACCCCCTGTGGCTTTTTCAACTTCGGTATGTATATTTTTCTCTTGCCTTTTATCAAATAGATCTGGGTTCACAATTCTTCTGTAAGTCTTATATTTTCTCTTAAAATCCTGTCTCTTTTCCCTTGATCTTATTTTAACGTAACTTTCTTCTAATTTTCTGTCTCATTCTTATTGGTCTTCTTTAATTTTTTATCTTTTCCTTCTTGATCATCTTTTCATCACTCACAGCACATTGTTGTTCTCGCTCCATACATGTGTCGTGATCTTGAAATTGGTTCTTGATTATATTCTATTTTTTTTACCAAAATAATTCCACTTCTGACACCAGTGTTATAAAGGTTTCGTTTGTTGGTGTGGTAGTTTGAGTTATTTTAAAAACAATGCGCCGAACTAGCAACGCAAGAAAGCTAACCCTTTAGCTCAGTTGAGAGTACTCACTTGGTTCGAATCCGAGCCGAGAAAATATAGAAAAAAGGCTTGCCATGTTGGGTCAGTTTATTTTAATTATTCAGTTAAAAGTAATGCAAAGATCAGTCCACTTAATTATAACGAAATTGTTATATTTCTTGAACTGCAAGTTCTTGCTGCAACTTGAAGGTCAACATAACTAACGATACGCCTAACTTCACAAATAAATAACGTCTCAACAGAAATTTCACTAACTTGCTAATTTTCTTGTCGTATTCTTACTATCTCTCTCACTTCGTTGAAAGCAGAAACTTAAACCTTAAAGGTCCGAATCAACTTATTGGTTGACTCAATAATCAATCAACAATCTAATGAACTTATTGGCTGACTCAATCATCAATCTAATGAACTTATTGGCTGACTCAATCATCAATCAACCATCTAATGAACTTATTGGCTGACTCAATAATCAGTCAACCATCTAATGAACTTATTGGCTGACTCAATAATCAGTCAACCAGTTATTGAGTCAGCCAATAAGTTCATTAGTCAACCAACAATCTAATCAACTTATTCTCACGTAGCTCACGATTTTATGTCACTTGCAAAAAAAAAATCCAGACTTTGGGCTTCGCGCTCATCACGTGACACCAATACTCCCTCTGGCGAAAAAACAGTAAAGGTGTCTTCAAGTCCAAATTAAAAACATCTCCGACAAGACTATAATACATTATGAAAAAAAAAATACATGGTTTCTAATACATAAAGACAAGAATACTAGAATAAACGTTGGAAAACAATGTGTTATGTAACACACGAAGCCAAGAACACTGCAATACACATCATAAAACAATACATGTTTTCTAATACACGAAGACAAACAAAGTACAATAAATTACCTACAAAATATTTTTGTTTTCTTAATTCGAGAAACAGAGAGCGGTACGATACATTAGATACAAAGTTTTTAATTTAATGAAGCCATAAAGAAAACAAGATCATTAATTACAAATTTAAGTAATGCTGCACTGATAGCGAAACGGAAACTAAGCATAAAGGAACATATTGAAACGTTTCTCACAGTTTCGGCGTAGAAGAAACAGGTGGTTTCCTGTCAACCAGCGAAGGGTCCCAGCCGAATGTCGAACAGATTACGATTGCCGTCTGTTAAGTCCGACCCGTTTTAACGTGTGGTGAAGGCTCTTCTATATATTCACACAAATAGCGTGCAAGTAACGTCAGCACGACTTCGTGAGCTTTGAATGCGAAGAAGCTGAGCTGATTGGTTAGCTCGTTCCGCTTACGTCATTTGTCAGAGAATAACACTCTATAGGAAACTGTAAACTTTCTGACAATAAATACATAAATTGTTTAAAGTTATAAACTGTTGACTGTGTGGTACAGTTAACAAGTTACACAGATAAGTAAATAATGTTTTAACGACAAAAAATGTAGACTAGGTGAGGTCGCCCAAGACCAATAGAAAATTCCACGCATAATCTACACTAGATGGCACTGAGTGTAAAGTAGAAACTACTACTAAGTAAAAACCCGTGTCTTTGAACTTTTGATATTAAATTTTAATTTTAAACTAGTCCTTCCTTATAGTTCTTCTCATTACTCTCTTAACCCTAAAAGTAGCAATAGAAATCTTAAATAAAATATATAAAACATATATATATATATACACGAGATTGGTCGCAGAAAATGATAAACATAATTATTTCTTTATTCATTCAGCATGTGTATATGAATTGTTTATTCAATTCACAAACACTACTTTTCTCCTCCCCCCCCCCCCGGGAAAATTTCTGCGGACAGCAATGGCTACAGGGATCTTTAATAACCCCCCCCCAAACACACATATACACACACGGGTGTTAGACTAAAGTTAATAACATCAAAGTTGTTGGTTCTACTAACCTAACTATTGGGTATTTTACACGAGTGGTTCAACCAGTTATATTTCTTTACACCTGGTGTTGCAACAGGCAACAGCATACAATTACTTACGGTAATATAATGCGATACCTGGATCTCACCGGTAGTGAACGGTACGAAAACGGTTGAATTAAGACCGTACACTTTTTAAACAATTAACAACTGTAATATTAGCATGATAAACTTCCTCAATATCCTGTTTCTTCCTGGACGTCTTATTTCTTGAGTACCATTAACAACTGTAATATGATAAACTTTCTCAATATCCTGTTTCTTCCTGGACGTCTTATTTCTTGAGTACCATTAACAACTGTAATATGATAAACTTTCTCAATATCCTGTTTCTTCCTGGACGTCTTATTTCTTGAGTACCATTAACAACTGTAATATTAGCATGATAAACTTCCTCAATATCCCGTTTCTTCCTGGACGTCGTATTTCTTGAGTACCATTAACAACTGTAATATTAAAATTCGATGACGAGGAACCCACTTTGAGACTAATAATGGCTGGAGACGGCTTAAATGGGTAATGAAGAAAAACTTTAATATAAGTTTAACATGACAGCAAATGTACAACGTTTCGACAAGGTTTTGTCATCATCAGGTACCTTTTAAGCCGTCTCCAGCCATTAACTGTAATATTAGCATGATAAACTTCCTCAATATCCTGTTTCTTCTTGGACGTCTTCCTGTACGCAAACGAAACTTAACACAGAGAAACAACGTCAGCAGCCAAGGTCAGTGACCATAACTCCGAATATTTAGATCATAATTGAGTTCCCGTTCAAATGTATGTATGGTTTATGGGATTCTATAATAGCTAGATTTATACAATGGACGTGTAGACTTCAGAGAATTATACGTGTTCTTTCACACACATTATTTGTTTGTTAAGCAAAAAGCTACACAATGGGCTATCAGTGGTCTGCCCATCGCGGCATCGAAACCAGATTTTAGCGTTCTAAGCATTCAAACTTACCGTTGGGCCACTGGTGGCATTTTACACACACACACACACACAAGTACTGTAGTACCGACGAATGTTTTTAGAGGATGTGCTTAATATTCTCTTTTTGTACCAACTTATAAAACATTAAATATAATACAATGTTTACAATAGTTACTATGATCTAAAATATAAAAACAAACAACTGCTTACATGTGTACATGGTGACTGTATGTTAAAGCATGCATATACGAAGTAGCAGGGCTAGTAAAGCTAAAACACGTCAGATCTAAAGTAAAAACCCAAATCTGGACCTGGATAAATTTTTATATTCATCAAACTAAACCTGCATTATTTCGGATTACTCCTTCAAGTGAAACCGTAGTCGAACATTCCCGATTTATAAATAAATAAATCGTTCCAGGATTAACACCAATGTTTTTATTAAACCTGCATGGAACATTGAACAATTTGTCTTAGCGGTCTATGACCTTTTCGACCTTGTCAAGACACTTACTAAACATCTGTGATACGACCTTGTCAAGACACTTACGAAACATCTGTGATAAAGTGTCTTGACAAGGTCGTATCACAGATGTCTAGTAAGTGTCTTGACAAGGTCGTATCAAAGATGTTTAGTGAGTGTCTTGACAAGGTCGTATCACAGATGTTTAGTAAGTGTCTTGACAAGGTCGTATCGCAGATGTCTAGTAAGTGTCTTGACAAGGTCATATCGCAGATGTTTAGTAAGTGTCTTGACAAGGTCATATCACAGATGTTTAGTAAGTGTCTTGACAAAGTCGTATCAGAGATGTTTAGTAAGTGTCTTGACAAGGTCATATCACAGATGTTTAGTAAGTGTCTTGACAAAGTCGTATCAGAGATGTTTAGTGTCTTGACAAGGTCAACTAAACATCTATGATATGACCTTGTCAAGACACTTACTAAACATCTATGATACGACCTTGTCAAGACACTTGATAAATTTTCATTATATTTCAGTACCAGAGTTGCATGGTTTTCTGTTCATGATTTTACGTTTTCTGTTATTTCCAGAGTTTTTTGTTTTTGTTTTTTTACATTATTGTTTTGTCTTATTTTACAACCAGAGCTATGGCTTTTTACACATTATAGTTTTGTCTTATTTTACAACCAGAGCTATAGCTTTTT